TAACCATCAGAGAAACATGGAAGAAAAATCTTCGTTAAAAAATTTGCTGAAAGATGAAGAAAGGCCTTACGATTGTAATACAACAGGAAACGGAACCGATGAACCCTTCCTTCATAAAACTGTAAGTTTTCTTACTGCTTAATTTCTATCAGATTTGTAAACTCTGGTTGTGATCAGATGCTTTCAAAACCTTAAAATATTACAAAAAAATATGATCCATGAGACCATTATTGAGGTTGACCTTGGTCTCGATCTCCTAGCTTAATTCCATTTTTTACATTTTAGCAGAATTTTTAACAAGATGACATGATTTTGAGCGATTATGAAAAAAAAAAATTATGCAGATGGGATCCAGTGTTCTCTCCTTGAACCTGAATAACTCTGGACAGCCCTTGAACCAAGTGAGTGATATTAATTTCTGGGGTACCCCATAAAGCTAAGAAATCTGTTATTTTCTAAGCATAAATTTTCATTGTCCCTTACTGAACATGCATGATTAATTATTCTTAGATGGGCATGCTGAGAATCAAGCTTGAAGAAGCTAAGAAAGAGAATGAAATCCTAAAGAACATGCTAACCAAGGTTAATGAACACTGCACTGTTCTTCAGAATCGAATACTTTTTGAGATGCAGCAACATCAACTATCTTCATCAGTTATCAATAAAAACAATAATCATGAGTCGCAGGTAATGATAAGCTTCTTTTATAAGCATGTGGTTAACCTTCCTTTTGTAATTACTTTGATTCAAAATTTTAGATTAATTGCCAAAAAATTAAGCAATTAATGTAGTTAGTTTTACTTGGTCAACAACTCAGCGTATATATTCAGTGCCAGCAATAATGTCAGGCCCAGAAGGTCTCTATCTTCTAGCTAGCTATACCGGGAATTCAAGACAAACAGATAAACAACAACTATATATGACCAAAACAAAAGAAAAAAACATTATTTTGTTGTTCTTGTAACTTTCATGACGTATATGCATTTGACAGAAAAATATATAAGTGTAGAAAGAGTAAAATGATTGAGGGAAAAACTGTAATAAAACCAGGAAGTTCATAGGAAATTAAATAATTAATATTTTGAATTGGAGACTCACATAGATGCCATTTCATTGAGATCATTAAATGTTGTCAAAATTTTGACATATGCAATTGCAATGTGATCAGAAAAATTTATAAACATTGTAATTGAGTTGTAGTTTCTGACTTTTATCAATAAATGTTGATGAGTGCTAATGATTTTTGCGTTATAATCATGTCCTATGATTTTGAAGAAGATAACTAAAAAAGTTGTATATCTTTTGAAGGGAAAAATACAAGATGTGGAGAAACCAATGCTACACACTCGGCAGTTTTTGAATATTGGTGACTGTTCTTCACTTTCAGAGGGTTATACAGAAAAGGTTGAAAAGAAAACATTAGACAGAAGCCTGGCATGTGAGAAAAAGAATATTGTTGAAGGTGAAATGAACACAAAAATAGCATTGCATGAAGCAAAATGCATAGAAGATCAAGCATCTGAGGTTACTTGCAGAAGAGCTAAAGTATCCATAAGAGCACGATCAGATTTTTCTTTGGTAAGAATTTGTATCTCATTTGGTAACTATTGTGTTATTATGGCTTTCTATAGGACTTGAAATTTTATATAGAAAAAATATCCCACACGCAACAACACCAACTTTTGAAGTGATGAAGTTTTTTTTTTTTTCTTTTAAAAAAAAATAGATAGAAAACTGAAGGGGTGCAAATCGTTTTTTTATTATTCTTTATAAATTATAATATCTGTTACTTTTACATAGAAATTGTTGACTGATTATAGCAAGAAAAAAGAATAAGATTTGTCTCATAATAATACCTGGCCGGCTGACACCTGTGTAAAAATCCAGCAATGCCATTGGATTATATATGCTTTTAATTAACTGAAGGAAAAACTTAATTACTTTCCTTTATCAGTGTGTTTAAACCTCATTTTTCAATTAAAAAGATAAACACTTCTTAATAAGATTGTTTTTTCGTATTAAACCTCCTTTTTTTCAACTCAAAATTAATTATTGTCATTGTAAATGCAAATAAAAAAAAATACTCTACCTTGACTGCAATTTAATTTTACATTAGATCAATAGCAGTCATTTTATAGTTAATTATAATTTCATCTTCAACAAACTTATAATATTAAATTTTATTGGAAATCATAGTTATCTTAAACAAAAAAATCCTAATGTGTGTGGTGTGTGTGTGTGTATATATATATATATATATATATAACATATGTTGAATGATAAGTAGATTAACTACCCATGCATGCAGTGTTTACAAATTGTGTCATAGACAGTGAAATATTTCTTCATTTTCTTGAAGCCTCTCCTTAAATGTGAAAAAAATAAAATAACGTGTGTTTTTGTATTATAAAAAGCTTATCACATGTGCGAGGGGGGTGTAATTAAGTAAAACAAACGCGTGAAATTATCATGCCTCTCGGAAAACTT